GGCAGATAGGGTCGTATTCTAGAACTCTACTCAATGCTCAAGTCAGGATTGCACTGGAAACACAAGCACTGGAAATACGACCCTAATGGCAGGGACTTGAGTATGATTTCGAGTGCTTTAAACCATACTCAAATCCTGACTTGAGCATTGAGTCGAGTTCTAGAATACGACTCTTAGTCTCCTTCGATTATTCGAACTATTTGGAATTATTCCAACTCATGACGTTAGAACAATATGTTTCATAGTCCTGTAGCTGAGTTTGGCCCGCTTGACATGTTTGTGTTTTCTTTTCTTTCAGGTATATTTCGTGTCAAACAAATTCATTTAAATTTTGACTTCCGACGTGCTCAGCTTCTGTCGACGTTAGTTGACTTTACTGCTTTCTCGTCTCCCGGGCCTCAAACCGCAAAATGACTGATCCGCTCGATCGCGTCTCACGCATCGTGTATTTTTTTAATACATATTAATTTCTTTTTCACCTCACTAGCTCGGAAAGGCTTTTTCTCATTAGAAATATGCGCGCTAAAGCGTTTTTTACACACTATCGTGGGCAAGGTTTTTCTTTAACATGCAGTTGAGAAGGATAACTCATTTTGTTTATTAAAACTTATTTGTTATAGTTCAACTGTTTTTCTTTCCTCTACCTTTTTCCTCGCTATAGTGAGGTGAAAAGTTGTGTGTTCCGCTCGGCTGCAAAGTTAATTTTCCATCAAACCATCCCTACGCTCAGGATTCTATAGAATCCTTCGCCTGCTCAGGTATCAATGCAATCACTCGCGTCAAACAACAACTTTGCAGCATTGCGTAACACATAACTATTATTATACTTTGGAACCTTGCAGTGTTTGGTTCCATACAAATCAGTCTCGATATAAAGTAACTGCAGGCACTTTATATATAAACCACACATTCACTCCACTCATTTATTACATACCTCCACTATACAACCACACAATTCCCTACTCTCACATATACACACATTTTTTCTTTTCTTTCTAGTTGCCTTGTCGACATTTTATAGCTTTTATAATAACTTATTCACCTATACAGTTAATATTATAACTACATACCTTACATTCTAACTCCATGTTAATTCTCTATTCTGAGTTATTTCTTTTTTACCGGCTCGCCTTAGGACATGGCAGAATCATCAGCATCGTACTTCAGCTGAACTGCGGCATAGTCAGGCCCTTTTTACTGACACAGTACACTCAGCTTAACACCTGACATAACATAACACTCCAGACCGTACCCGTACACCTAGACTAGCCTTTTTCTTTATGATTACCATTGTACCTAAGTCAAAAGCTTGTTTGTAATGTACTGTGATTCAGGAAAATAAACGAGTTATCCACCTATCTATTCATCTTTCCATCTATCTATCCATCTATCATATTTATCCCGATCATAGTTATCCCTTGACATTGTATTTCCAATTGTAATATTGTGACATTGATAACATGAAATAAACGATTCTATTATATTCTATTCTATTCTATCACTTGTTAATAGATATTTGTACACAATTACGCCCGTTTCCTACTAAGATAGGCAGAGATTCTGGACATCCAGCCGTTGCGCTCATCAGGAGTTAGAATTCCTGCCCTCGCATCAATCTTCTCGTTGCTAATACTTTTGACCTGGCCTATTTTAAGAACATCCTTGTCCTGGTTGAAATATGTGCGTCAAGGGTGACGTTTCTCCACGTTTCCATCCACGATAGCTGTATAAATTAGTGTCGTTATTCTATTAACATCCACCCTTTTCATACGACCAAAAATCGAAGCATTCCCTATCGATTCGCCACATCACTTGTTTATGTTTGCGTTTTATTTATTTAATTTATAATAGATAATTTATTGTATTATATATACTTGGCACTATCTAATAGGCCCACATTGACACCTGTCATCGCAGCGTAATTAGGGATGTGAATCAAACAAAACGTTAACCAAATTACCCGATTGTCACGAGAAATCGATTCACAATTTTATGAGTTTGTGATTGTTTATATTTTTGGTTAATTGGTTTTAAGCTTTAGATAGAAACCATTAACATTTATTTAAACATTATAAATTTATTTATTACGATTTAAAAGTAAGAAGATCTTTGTATCAATAATAATAACAAACTTGTTGAGTTTTTTTATAGAAAGAGATGAATATTTTGATAACAAAAACAGATATTCAATAAAAATAAATATTTCAATAAGATAGGAAATGAAACTATTTCTCCGGATTTAAATCGCGTATATTTGTTTTTTCAAACAAACCGACGTTTCGGGCCCTTTACAGGTCCCATGGTCACGGTTGACTGAGGTGGTACAGTCTTCAACCAGTTATGTCTAATATTAATGCAAACCACCCTATTTTTCACTATAGTTACAATAGTTATTAATTAATACCTTATTTTTAATTTTACAAAGAAAACATTCCAATTTACGCTACATTAAGTTTTACAAATTATTGGGATGGGACCTATAAAGGGCCCGAAACGTCGGTTTGTTTGAAAAAACAAATATACGCGATTTAAATCCGGAAAAATAGTTTCATTTCCCATGTGTAACAATCTCGAAAACCTAAGATTTCGATATTTCAATAAGAATTAAGGCATCGTTAATAGTTCCAAAGCAAAGCCTAAAAACAAGAACATAGACACCAAAAACCAATGAGTACAAAGAAAACTTGATCGCTGAGTGCCGCCAGTTCGAAATCAGTCTATCCAAGTCATATCCAAGTTCAAAATTTGCAAAAAAAAAGGAAATTAAACTTGGCTTTACTACTATGTATTGACCACTTTTTATTTTTTAAATACAGAAGTTATTTTCATTTGGAACCAAATTGAGTCGGCGAAGTTCAGAAATCAATTATTTATGTACAACAATTATAAAAAAAATAGACTGAAGTTATAATTTTTTATGAGACATTTCGCTGTGATTCAAAATCGTGTTTTATTTTGGAATTCACGGGAAGTGCGCCAATAAAACTAATGTATTTTTTTGAAACTAACACCCTTTCATATTTAATTTCAAAATTGTTTTTCTTATTTCTCTGTCATACTTTTGCTTGTATTGTAATGTTTGTATATACGTGATAACGTATTATAAGATTTGTAAATTAAATCCGGTGGAAGACGTAGCGTCTGTCATACAGTTTTATTTAAAACTAATACGGGCGCTAAAGTTCAACCTTATCTGAAAATATTCCCTGTGACACGTAATTTTACGTTTATTGAGTGACACGTTGTTTGACCACCATGATATTCAATTACTTTTTTGAAATTATTGTTATAATGATTAATACAAAGTTACCTAAGAAAAAAATCCTGCGATCCGGCTGGGTTCTGGTTCCGTGGCTTAATTGGCATTGCGTCTGGACGGTTTACTGGAAGACATTGGGCCGAATGAAAATTAATTGAATCCGAATTAAAGATTTATTATTATGTTATTTTTTTAAAACACTCCTAATTTTATAGTTAGTTGCTTATTGTTTCACTGATTTTATTCAAAGTTACATTCTATCGTCGCTCTTGGTCAAAACGGTGTATCAACATTTTAATAACTCATATATTTGTGCATAAAATATAAATAATTTATTGCAATAACACACAGTTTATCCATCTATGGTATACATTAATATTATTATTATTATCTACAGTGGCGGCACGCGACGATGGCCGTTTTGCCAATTACAATAGTGAGGTAAAATCTCAAGTCATTATCGAAATAAATATAAATAAATGCAAGTCACATCTATAATTTTTTAGAATTATAACTAGTATTGCAAGATTTAATAAATCGAAAATAAAAATGTTTCCTTAATATATCGTTAATTCGAAACTGATTTGTTTTGCATTGAGCTTTGACGCGAGTTTGCTGGAGACAGAAGTTGTGCTGGTCAGCGATTTCGAATTTCCAACAACAAATGCTGCGTTGTGTCGTAAAATAATTATACATTCCATAAATTTTACTGCACGTCACTATTGACAACAATGTATATCAATTAGCTCCTTCAACGTAGTTATGAATTAATACGAAACTTGATGAGTGAGGACAAACGTCAAAACGGCCATCATAGCGTGCCGGTACTATAGTAGTCAATTATTAGTATAGAGTGTTAGTATTAATTTTGTTTGTTGTGTTCCAATCAATGACGGGCTAATGGCAGAATAATAGCGAGGTCTACGAGCTCGCAAATGCTGAGTCATACAACCTTTTGACAAGGCGTATTTCTGCGTTAATACGTCATTATTACAATTACTTTTTTTTATTAACTTATTATTACAACGCACACACTCATGACCCGCACTAGGAAAGCCCTGTATCACGAGTGCCATACATACAGACATAGACAACTAATATTTCTCCCGGCCCGGGAATCGAACCCATGGAAAAATGGCATAAGTGGAGTTACGTCAAAAATGTTTATTGCTCCATTACATACAGAAAAATATAACCTATATCCTCTCCAATTCTTGTAATTCTATCTACAATATTAGTCGATAGAGTTACAAGAATTGGTGAAAATGTTGGTCATACTTTTCTGTATCTAATGGAGCAATAAAATTTTTCGACGTAACTCCACTTGTGCCATTCTTTCATGAGGGGTGCGATTTCATAATAATGAAATGATGACGACGACGAATTCATCATCAAAAGTCGATTTTATTGTTTCTTATATTATTTATTATACATTTCCCTCCGTTCAAACATTTTGTTCGATAACTTTGCCTTTGTACACACTATTTTTAATTTTTTTATTGTATAATAATGTGTATCTATAGGTACAATTATATATATAATAAAATACATAAAATATATTTCAACACATTTTGTGAATGTATTTAATAAAAAAGTATCACGATAGCACCACGAATGTGCTGTCACATTGCTAAAGAAATCCCACAAGAAGAGCTTACGTGGTAGGGCGGGCGGTCAACGCGCCAGGGCGGGTGGCTATAAGGCGCGTGGCGGGCCCGTACGCGGCATTCGGATCGCAGCCATGGGACCTGCCGTTGGAACCACCGTGCTTGCTCTGCTATTGGCAGGTTAGTCACTATTTCCCTATCTATACTTTCTAGAAACTGCAGTTTTAACCGTTACGCGTATTTTTGTTTAAGACTTTTTATATAGTTTTAGTATTTTGAAAAAAAAAAAAATATATATAAATTTTTATTTCTACTTTGAATTTTTTAATGTGTTTTTTTGTAATATAGACACGGCTAGATAGTTACAAAGTTTTTAAAATAACAAATGTAAACCTTTTTAATGAAAGTTTCATGGATTTCTTAAAAATATTTCTTTTTATAATCAAATAAATTAAATTCCTGAAAGAACTTTGAACAAACTTTTATCATTATTCTTCAGTAAAAGATTTAATTGCAAAACCAGAATAAAAACAAAATCTTTGTATAATGTATAACACAATCAAGATATAAGTACAGATTTATATAATTTTATAACATTTATATATTTATTATTTATTGACAATTTACGTAAAACTTATTCAAGTCCATAAATAAAATAACAAACATGGCCTACCTCGTATCACAAAAGTTACCAAAATTTAGCTTATTAAGAACTTTATAATGATTATTCGGTTTTCAACAAAAAAGCAAACTTGTAAATTCCGTCCTCTAAGTAAACAAGTTATAAATTAGAGACCTTTGTATGTGATCTGGCTGTTTGACGGAAAGACAAACGTCTCACAGTGATCAATTTTCAACTTTTAGGTGGACAAAAATATTTTTATTATTTAATACGATTTTAATGCACCAACTTGTTTTCTATTTATTGTTATTAATTTTCATTAATATCTTGCACATAAATTACAATAATAAAATGTAAATATAGTTCTGAAATTATTATTTATTACATATTAGGAAAATCATCATACTGCGATCTCTAAACTGTTTGCTAAGTTTATTCCTAATACATATTGTAACAACGTATGTTTGTATGCCACCGAGTTAGGAATTTTTAAGTTTTTTTTAACACTTCATATCAAAAACCAAGTTAGTTAGATCTCGAACGTTACCAAAACGCTAATGCGCTAAGTAGTTATGACAAGGAAGCTATGAAATCGGATGATATTACAATTAATATGGTAACGAGGCCACAGATATTAAAATCAGGACAATCTGCAGACTACTAAATTCCACAATCCCTTTCTTTCCACTTTAGTAGAACTAACGTGCTTGGGCCAATTAATTGGTCAGACATAGACATAGTTAGCTTATAGACGGTGATTTTATTGACTTTTGGAGTACATTATTTGGTATAGGGTGATTTTCAAATTTCAATTGAAGGTTTGACAATGATAGTTCATACGTAAGACGAACTCGCAACAATGCAAAGCGAGCGATAATTATTAAAACCTTTTTTTGTATGAGATGTACCTATTATTAGGTAATTTTCCGAAAACTTTTAAATAGTAGAAATTTTTCCCGAAAAAATTCCCGAAAAATTGGAAAAAATGAAAAAATATAATTTCGAACGGTCATATTATGTTCTATTTTTACAAATATCTTTTGAAGTTTTATTTATCGTGAATTATAAAATAAATGTGTATAGTTTAAAGCCACTTAGAGAAAAACGAGATTTAAAATTATTTCACGACAGCGAAAAGAATTCTTTCTTTTTCTTCATCGTTTCCGTTCAGTATTTTCAACTTTTGACAAGTGTTAACTTCAAATGTGGAAAATTAAAGAAAAAATATTGGAAAAATATGATTTTTTCAAACCAATACCAGATATGCCAATTGTTGGCGACCAGCTATGACGCAACCTCCTTTGTAATTATAGTTTTTTTTACATACCTTATAAGAAGTACTGTGTTTCTTTTCGCCTGTCTTTGTTTTCCAAATTTTGGCAGTTGCTTTTTCTTCGCTGTCTGGTTCGGTTTATTTTCAATATTGTACTTTCAATCGGTTTCATTAAACGTGATTAATTTATCAAAATCTTTCCATTGAAGTGCACGTCTCAATATACAGGTCACTCGCCAATACCAACTTTATTAAAACTGAGCTTTATGACATAGGTGCGTGTTCAAATTTGCAGTTTAAAAACATATGAATTTTCCAGCTTCACCTGTTGCTCAGTGTACGAGTCAATATCCAACGAATGCAGAAACCTTTTTAAGAAATACAATATAATGACCATGTACTCACAATATATTTATGATATAATAGTTTATGCGCGTCAAAACTTGGCTACTTATGAGCGACGTACGGGCGGAGGCCGAGCGTTACGAAACGCGGGAACACTAAAATCCGTTGCCCACCGTACCGAACTGGCAACTAGAAATCCGCGGGTAATAGGTCCCCGATTCTACGAACATCTACCCACAGACCTGAAAAGTGTTAGAAACGATGAAACGTTTTGTACCCGACTAAAAATCCTTTTATTGGATATTGAATTGTACAGTGTCGATGAGTTTCTTTTGAAACAATTTTAATTTTATTTTATTCGACAAGCAGTAGTTATACTACTTTATTTTATATTCATTATTATTATTATTATTTTGTTACTGACGATCATAGTTATCCCTTGACATTGTATTTCCAATTGTAATATTGTGACATTGATAACATGAAATAAACGATTCGATTCTATTCTATTCTATTCTATTCTATTTATTAAAAATAATTATAACTTTTTTTTTATAAAACAACCGGCCTAAAAAGTTTGTCATATATTTGCCAAGTTTAATTGATAAAATGAATTCGTCTCCTAATTTGTCATCCTTAGAGGTGGAATATTTTCTACAAATTTCAACACTAATGCATAATTACGTAACACGCCCATAGTCCCGCACTGAAATACTGTATCGTGTATGGCATGGACACACACATTACAAACTCACAAATTACATCCAAACTCATGAGAGGCCTGGGAATCACAAAACAAATATAGTGAAATTGAGAACTTCTTCTTTTTTGAAGTCAGTTAAAAGGAGACCAGCTTAATGAAAGTTAAAAAGATTTTCCTGCCATCCATTTCCTAACATTTTACAAACAAACACTTTGCCATTATAAAAAAAACAGCGACAAAGATAAATACAAATAAGTATTAATATAATTAATTGTAGTGGTGTTTTCTCTACAGGTGCGTGCATCTTTAAATTTGATTTATAAATAATGCATACCTTTGATAATGATTTACCTTCTGAACACCCATTTTAGTATCTACTACGAAATAATAGCTTATTACAAAACAATAACACTGATCATTCGGTATGATTTGATCCTATTATTTAACCCACTCAAATTATTCTATCACAATGCAAAGAGAAAAATTGATGAACATGATAAATTAACCATAAAAATTGTAATAATAAGTTAATTGAATATCACGATGTTTCTACCATGATACTAATACGAACTAAAATGTTTGGTGGCACCTTTCTCTGTTGGACAGTCGACAAATGGACCTTCTTTCCAGCGCACGCATTCCCTCCATTTTACGATATGGGGTCCTTCAAACGAGGCGTGAAGAGGCCTCTTGTAGGCGTGCAGGGTGGAGGTGCTTAGGGTGATTGTATCATCTCGTTTAGACTCTACTATCCATTTAACATCACGTGGAGTGGAGTCACCTGTCGCCCAAGTATAAAAAAAAATTGTGAAATTGCTCCACTAGTTTGGTATAATTTTATTAATACAAAGAAGTAATAGAAGAGCTCCTTGTGAAAGAATGCGTCCAGGGAAATACTGCCACCAAGCAGTAATGTCAGCATTACTGTGTTCCGGTTTTGAAGGGTGCTGGTGAAATTACAGGCCATCGAGTATACATATAACCAGAATTAGAGACGAAATAAGGGCCATACATTGCTGGTAACTCATCAGTGATACATTACTTATAAATATCAACTCTCATTTGTACTGAAATATAGACAGCGCCAACAATTGACCTGTGTGTATGTCTCCGTATATTCCAAAAAAATTGTAATACAGAAAATGTCTGTAACAATGGCGTGCTGTTCCATTCGGTGGTGTGGGGAAAAACAGCAAAATATCTAATTACAAAACAAACGGAATAAAACTTCGTCGGTAATTAAATATTAAATATGTAATTTTGAAATTTTCGTCCATTATAGCAAAGCTCAAGTTAACTAGTCGATAGTCGATTGAAACAATTGACGACACCCGTCAATTGTTTCGAATTCGGGCTGGCCAGTCGGAGCGCAGTTGTCACCACAGAGCACCTACATACTAGTAAAGATATGGCACAATAGTTTTCAAACGAATTAAATGACATTTCGTCTCTATTTCTGGATAAATACGGGACTGTGATGGGCGCAGTGGCAGTGCCCCCCAGATCTTTGCAATTTAAAGCTCTGAGTGGCACTGCAACTATTATGGACAGGCGTGTAGCCTATAATCCGGCGCACGACTTATTCGTCCGGTCACTTGATATTATAAAAAAAGATCAAACACTAAGAAAAAATCCTTCGATCCAGCTGGATTTTAACCAGCACCTTCAGTACTTCAGGCACGGTTTGCTGAAAGCGCCAATTCGAATCTAACCGGATCGAAGGAATTTGTCGTAGTCTTCGTCCTTTGTAGTGAAGATTTCAGAGTTCCACAAGGATTTTAAAGGTAATAGCTCCGGTTGGCTAATTGTCAGCATGCCACGTTTGAAGCGCTTATATCAACCATTTTTTTACTTGTAAAATGTTTTGTTCACGTAGGTATTTTGATTATTACGTATTCTCCGTAGCTGTAGAGGTCCTTGTGAAAGAGTTCGTCCAGCGAAGTACTGCCATCTTACCTATCTCTGCCGCCAAGCAGTAATGTAAGCATTACTGCGTTCCAGTTTTGAAGGCTGAGGGTTCTGGAGAAATTACATGCACATGGGACTTTTCGGCGCACGATGCACGACTTGTTCGTACCTTCACTTGGTATCGTAAAAAAACCTTTATGATGGTTTACCCCTTGAAGATCTATTTCAGTACCTACTATAAAATAATATAGCGACAAACAATAACACTAATTAATCGATCCTATAATTTTATTGTTCTATCACAATGCAAAGACAAAAACCGATAAACT